ACTGGACTTCAGTCTTTCTTGTGATGGTGAAAGCTCAAGGTTTGGCAGAGATAGCTGTGGCTGGCCTTGTCTGCCCTGAAGACAGGCGGAGGAAGAACTCAGACAGGTGTCACTTCTTACGGGTACACAGGGTTTCTGCACATGTCCATGAGCTTGCAGCCATTAGGGGCATAAACAGGAAAGGAGAAGGTTTGGAACCTTGCAGGAGGATAAGCCTTCTCAGGAAGGGAAAGGAAGACCATGTGAATGCCAATCCAAGGTTCCAGCTTCTCCCAGGAGAGCATTTTGCTTATATCTTCACAGCAAGGACGAGTCCTCTTCAGAAAATTTAATTGTCCACTCTACCAGCCCTAGCGCACAACGTAACACTGAAAAAGACACTGATCTCTTGTAGTGGGAAAAACTGACAGTGCGGTGTGCTTTACAAAGCTACTCCCCATAAAGGTGTCATTTGATGCAAACCGAGGGCAAGCACACGGCCTAGGCTGACTCCCAAGCCCACTGCCAAGGTCCCCTTTGCTCTGTATTTCCTCTATTAATATGACAGCAAAACTCACTAGGGAGGAGGATTGAACATTTTTCAGTCCTGCCCTCATTTAAGCCTGGAGATAGCAGGAAGAAAAAACAAAACAAAGCAAAACAAAAACAGAAACAGAAAATATGGACTTGATGCTTACTATATGCTGCAGGCCATGAGAAATAGCAAAGCCATAAAACATGATCCCTGATCTCCCTCAAAGAGATTACACTATACTTGAGTAAATTAAAAATGAAGTAAGAAAGCATTTGGGCTACAGTTCAGTAACTAGTCAAAGAGGGCCACCAGGCAGGAAATGATTAACAGGAAAATAATTGGAACAGGCTGTAGTTTGCAGAGGACTGTAGTATTGGTTGTCCCCGAAGCAGGCTATGAAGAGTGAGCCCCACAACTGGCTGTTTACAGAAGTGAGTCTGGCTGAAGCCTACAGGCTGAGGTCAGAGGAACTCGCACTCACATTCTACTCCCACAACAAAAACCTTCACACTAGAAGGACAATGTTCTAATTACAATCAGATATTTTGTCTTGTCTTGTCCTTTATGATCTTTGTTTGCATTAATTTCCATAGAGACCACAGATCGCCTTTACCCCAGTTGATTGCCAATAAAAGTCAGTGCCTGGGACTGGGCCGTGCCTTTGTCCGTTATGCGGTCATTGGTCATCCTGGTGTCCTGCTTTCGCTCTTGGTTCTGTCTCCTAGTGTATCTTCTTCTCAGGCTTGCGTCGCACACTGGGCAGGTGGGGACTGGAACCTGGCAACAGGGGTCTCCGTCGGGAGTTGGTATTGAGAAATGTGAATTTGCTGTCCTTTTGGAATTTGGGTCAGTTTATCACACTGACTTACTGTTAAGAGAGGTGTTGTCTGGGCAAAGGGCATAGGAAAATTCATTTATATTTGTGTTCTGAAAAGAACAAGGAGATGTTTCTTCCAGCCAGACTACCACTGTTACAGGCTTGTAAACTTGCTGTCTCTCAGGACAACACCAAAGGAAGGGTGTGCTGGGACTGATGAGTCACAGGAAGAAGACCCATTTTTGGGAGAGGGGAATCAATAACGAAAGAGATGACACTGGTGGTTTTGTGAGGCAAAAAAGCTATTATGTAAGTTTCAAGGCACCTAGCGAGCAGTGGGACTTGGGTACATTTCTGGTGTTTCAGTGGACAGTGAAATAATATTCCAGAGTCTCCAGTGACATTCATGATTGAAGGTGCTGGAAAGAAATGGAGGAAGATACCTCTTCCCAAGCCCTTTGCCTACACTGCCGATAAACCAGGGCCCTTCTCTGTGTGTGAGGAATTTAAGAGGGATAAGCTTCCTATTTTTTTCCTCTCATAAATATGTATACTTTTTCCCTCCTGATGATCAAATATGAGACTTTTCCATGAGACTTTCACTTTGTGAAAAAAGAAACTAGGAGAATTTTCTGTCCATTGAAGTGAAGAAAATGCACGGGGTTGGCCATCTGCTTGAAGCGCCGAGGGAGAAATCGAAGCACGGATGAGGATGGGGGTCCAAATGGATGCTGCTGAAATGGTGCTCCAATTGCATAGAAAATCTTTCATAAAAAACCGGTATATTGAAAACCCCCGGAGCTTTGGCAGAAGCAAACCAAGACATCCTCTGTGGGAACATTTATATAACCCAGCATTCGTGGGGGACCGCGGTGTTTCGAGGGAGAACACCTCTGCAGATGATTCACTAGTGATCAAAAGTTACACACGTCACGTGGGAGTAGCCCATCCTGAGGCTTGGAGCACACCAGACAGAAGAATGAGAAGCCCACGCATTAATCTGTACGGTTATGGGCTTAAAATTATTAAATATATAAAAGTTTAAAAATCATAATAAAACAATAGGGTGTTATGACTAATAAAAAGAAACAGGCAGAACTGTATAAGATCTAAGTGAATGTCCCAGTTGAACAGATTAAAATTAAAACATAAGTTGGGTGTAGTGGTACATGGTGGTAACCCCAGCACTTGGGAGGCTGAGGCAGGAGGATTGCCGCAAGTTCAAGACCAGCTTGGGATACACAGGGAGTTCAGGACCAGCCTGGTCTACACAGTGAGATCCTGTGTTATAAAACTGAAATAAATAAATTAATTAAATTAAAACATAAAACTAAACACCAGTCGTGAAAGAATAAATGAACTAGAAAAAGAAATCAGTGGGAATCATCTAACTGTAGCCCAGAGAAATAGGGAAAGCCAAACAAGTTAATAACCTAGAGGTTAGAGTAAGAAAGTCCAGAATATTTTAAAGAAAATGTTCAGGAAAACAAAAGAATTATCACAAGTCATTTGGGAACGGCTAAGAAAAACAATCAGATAATACATCTTTTAAAATGGCAAAATCCCAACACTGACAACACTATTCAATGCTGGCAATAAGGCAGAGCAATAACAGCTCTCCTTTATGACTGAGGGCAGTGTGAAATGGGCCAGTCACTTGGGAATTGAGTTTCCTACAATATAAAACACTGCCCCCATACAACCCAGCAACAATGCTCCAGGCCTAGGTATTTACCCAAATGAGAGGAAAATATGTCTACCCACAAACTTGCACCTATGTTTATAACAACTTTATTTGTAATTGCTCAAAGTTGGAAGAAACTAAGACGTCCTTCAATAGGTTATTGGATTAACACATTGTGCTTCTAGTCTTAACCAGCCAGGAAAAGATACAGAGGTTCTGTAAAGGCATAACTCAGTGAAAGAAACCAGTCTGAAAAGACTGCTTGCATATGATTCCAACTATCTGACAGTCTGGAGAAGACAAACCCATAGAGACAGTTAAGAGATCTGTGATTGCCAGGGTTTGGGAGGGGCTGAGAGAGAAATGATGGGGAAAAATGGATAGGATGAAGAGTTACTACTCAAAATGATAATAGAGGTGATTTTTTTCAGAATCCAAATTTCAAGTTTTCAGATTGAAGTGTTATACTGAGTCCAAAGCCCAAATAAGACAAATTCACACCTATATTCCACACCAAAAACAAAATAAAAGCCTCAAAATTGATTCAGGAAGGAGATACAGATTGCATAGAAAGTAATGACAAGGAAAACATTAAGCATTCTTTGCAGTTCAGATCGGAAGAAAATAATTGTGTGGTTTTTTGTTTGTTGTTTTTTTTTGTTGTTTTTGTTTTTTTTGTATTGGGGATTGAACTTGGGACCTTGTACTTATGAGACAGATGTCAAGGAACCACTGAGCTAAATCCCCAGGCAGAAGAAAATTTAATAACATCTTCAAGGGGTCAAAGAAAAATCATTATCAATTTAGATATTTTCACATTCAAATCATTCAAGAGTGAGAACAAACCCAAAACTATACACATTAATTTCTTTAAAATTAAAGATAACAGTATGAAATCAATAATCATGATTAATCTTTTCAAAGGAGAATCAATAAAAACATTTGAGGCATCTCTTTTTCTTCAAACATCTTCAACTGCATCTTAGAAATCATTTATATGTATCTATATACAATACAGTCACATTTCGCATTTAATATTATATACATCTTCTTTGATTATCAGTGCCCTTGAAAGATAATTTTGAATGGTGACTGGTTAAAATTCATATGAGAGAGAGAGAGAGAGAGAGAGAGAGAGAGAGAGAGGGATGGAGGGTGAGCGTGCCTACATCTTTCCTTTTTTGTTGGAAAAAAAAAAACACACCTGCTTTCTAAGTCGCCTACTGAAATGTGAAGGTATTCAGTTTGCAAGGGCCAATTCAGGGCCAGAGATGTACTTTTCAAGTAAACTATTGTGCCCTAAGCATACTGCTCATGAGTGACTTTTTGGAGTAGTTCTCGATGTTCTAAAGAGATGTGAAGAAAGAAATACTTTATGCGAGGACTCCCACACGCCAGAAACCATTCTAGGTGATGGATTTGTTTTTCATAAAAATAATAGTAGCAAAGGGTATTACTTTGAGAACTTAACTGTGAACCATATACTTTAAGAAAAAATGATATATAATTTATACATGTTATATATATACATATATATGTATATATGTACTTCGATCCTTACCACAGCTCTAGGAGGTATGCACGTTGCCCTACACATTTCACAGACCAGATCAGTGTGACTCCAAGATCAGACAGCTAGTAAATGATGAAGCGATCCTTGAAAGGACACTTTCCACTGTAGCATGCTGCTGGTTAAGCCCTGTCACTGGTTTATTCCAAGTCTGAGTGAGTGCGGGCAGCAGGGGCAGGGGGAACAACACAATAACCACCCAAACCGAATCAATCCGGGAATGGTGCCGAACTTGCCATGCAGCTATGTTACCCGATTCAGGCAGGTGTTGTTATAGTCGCGACACTCAGCCAAGGACTGGTGGAGCTCAGCACCTTGCCTTTAAGGTCGCACATGTCTGTCCCTGACCCGAAAGAGTCTGCCCCGCAGCACACGCTCTGGGGCTCACTTCCGGTGGGCGTTGTGTTCCCTGCAGGTGAGATGGAGGAGCTGGAGACCCTGTGGCTCACCGGCATCTGCCACAACGAGAAGAACGAAGTGATGAGCAGCCAGCTGGACATCGACAACATGGCAGGTGTGTTCTACATGCTGGCGGCGGCCATGGCCCTCAGCCTGCTCACATTCATCTGGGAGCACCTCTTCTACTGGAAGCTGCGCTTCTGCTTCACGGGCGTGTGCTCCGACCGGCCCGGCCTCCTCTTCTCCATCAGCAGGGTCAGTACTGCCGCGGCCTTTACTGCATGCAGCAGGCAGGTTCTTGGAGTTGAGAGAATCTGACATTTTGAAATCCTCTTGGAGGTCTGCACGGCCTCCCCTCACTTACCCACCCTGTAGGCTTGTCCGAGGGCGTCTAGACTTTGCTCTCGCCTAAACCAGCAACTACGAACTCCGAGGACTGTGGGAACCAAAAGCGGGATGAGGATGGGTGGAGCTGGCTGGGAGCGAGGCAGGGGGCACAAATGAGACGAGGCACAGGAGCTGAACTTGGATGCCAACAGGACACGGGGGACTGTGGTGAGCAGTGTCACGTTTGACCCAAAGGAATCAGCTAGACACAGCCCCTGCTAGGTATTACCTTATGGACGTTAGCACCAATATTATCTTTCTTTCTTTCTTTTTAATGGTACCGGGTATCAAACTCGGGTCCTGGTGTTTGCGAGGTAGGCAGTGGAACCACTGAGCTAAATCCCGGGCCCCAAGAGCCAATATGATCAAGTGTTCCAGTTTTTAAAAGAGAAGATATTATCCAATTGAATGTAGAACCTTTCAGTGTTTCGGTATTAAAATAACTAATTCTTTTTTTTTTTTCTTTTTTTAATTGAGTTTATTGGTACATTTAGGGATACAGTACAGTTACATTCATTGTTGGGGATCATGTACCTTTACATGGCAAGTCTTGATTCTCATTTTTTTCCCCTTACCTCTGCCCTCCCTTCACAAAATAACTAATTCTATAAAAGGTCGGGACCAAATGAAGCCTCCCTCTGTGGTCGGTATGGTTAGTACCCAGATACACCATACCATTCTGTCGCAGGTGCGGGATGTTACAATGTGTGCATGTGTTGCAACAGAAGGTGCGCAACAAAACAGTCTACGTGGAGTGCTACACAGTATATCCACACTCTAACAAAACATAAAAAGTATGTGCAACCCAGCAAGTACTGGAACGGAAACAGAGATGAAAAGTATCAGAGGAACATGCACATACATAAAACAACAAAACGCACACTCTGCACAGACTAAACAAGCACAAGATACACCTGCAACAGTCAACTACATGCAGTGCAGGAGAGCCACCTTACATGCAGCACGTTATGGCATGTGTGTTGCCATCAACATACACGTGACACAGTTCATCAGTAATGGCAATGATCCTGGAAATGTTTATACCCCTCCTATGGGGCATGAATATGTATGTGCCAGGCACAACACGAGAGCTTCACACTCTTCATGTCATGTAACCTACAAACAAACCATGAGGTGGGTGTGGGGATGAGTTCTAGATTGCAAATGGCAGCATTCAAAGGTAGAAGCTAAGAGAACTACCCCAGATTGCTCAGCCAGTAAGGTGGAGACAGGATTTCAATCCAGAGAGTGTGGCACCAGTGAAAACCCCCGGTCTTCCACAAACAAAAACATCAAATGCAAGCAACACAAAAGATTTGATACACTTCATACTTCAAACATATGCAGGTGCAATTTACAGGTGTTCATACATGTAACACAACCTAATCATGTATGTGTACTATAATTAAAGCCCATACATATGTACTGCTCATGTATCTATCTATCTGTCCATCCATCTATCATCATCTATCCATGTATTATCTATCTATATCTTTCTTCCATTTGCCCATTGTGGTGGTTTTTTTTCACCCTGGAAGAGTTCAATGAATTAGGATTTGAAACATGAAAATCCTTTGGTTAAAAACATCTTATTTTATATGCTAATATTTATTGGGAAAACAAAGTAATTGCTTTAAAGTAAATTTGTATATTAGCATTTGGTAATTTTAAGAACTTTGGAGATTTAAAAGGTACACATTAGCTTAGTGAGGAGGATTTATTTTCTCCATTTGATTGCACTCCAAACTTGGGTTCTGTGCAAATACATATTTCCTAATTAGCTTGATGGCATCTAAACACACAGATTGCTTAAAAATAACAACATGCATTCATATAGCTAGGTATTATGCCAACTTTAAACTAATTTTCCCAGTCAGTTGCTAAAGGATTTTTTAAAAATAACAACATGCATTCATATAGCTAGGTATTATGCCAACTTTAAACTAATTTTCCCAGTCGCTAAAGGATTTTCATATCCACGTGATTCTGGGATTATCTTGAGCAAATGCACATGGTTGCATTTACTAGTAAATCTTGCTTGTTTTTAGAAGAGCGTATCCTCTCTCTGGGAAGCCACATTGATAAAATCATCCCTGTGAGAAATAGACGAAATCCCTCAGTCCCTTTCCAAGCTTCTTGAGGGATGGGAATACGTGGGGACTTGACAGTGGAGGGGCAGGCTTTGTGGTAGTGTTCTGTCATGGGTAGAATTTGAACTTCAGCCTCCTTCCCTAGGGCAGAGTGGGCCTTACCTCTGTGAAAGAAATGCAGGGAGTTCTGTTCCTTTTGGCAACTGCCAGTCACCAACACTGTTCTATCCGTAGAGGACACAGAGAGCCCTATCTGAGTGTTGTTTCTCTTCCCAAATCACATTTGTGTTTTAAAGTGCAGGTTGATCGCTTCTCGGCCTTTTGGCTAAGATCAAGTGTAAAGTGCAGGTTGATATGTATGGTTAGGAAAGCCTAATTCTTAACGATTTTTTTCCCTTCCTCTCTAGTTTATTAGGGGAATTCAGAATAAGCTCACGCCAAGCCCCTAACGTTATACACAGCAAGGCTCTGGGTTGCAAAAACAAAAAAAACAGAAAATGTTCTTCCTGTCCGACTCTCAAGGACTATCACCACCTCTAAAGCTTATCTCCTTCATGCCTTTGAACATATTCTCTTACGTACATGTAACTCACACAGTGCAGAGAGCACATAGGAAAACAATGCACTCACTGTGCACACGCTATCATTTGCTTCAACCAAATCTGCAGCAGGAAGTTCCCGACAACAGTGCATTATGTCTGGAGTGAAGGCAAGAACACAGATCAGGTTTGTTTCCTGCATCATCCCTACTCCTCACAATACCAGTGAAGTTGACCTAATCACACAAATCCTACGGGTGGAGAAACTAAGACCTCAAAGGTTAGAATGGGGCCTTTTTTACTTCACTTTTTTTTCTTGAAATGATAAGGATCTTTTTATTCCACCCATTAGGCAGGAAAGGGGCATGAAAGAGAGATATTTTCTGTGCACACAGGACCAACACACATGCATTAGTCTACTTCAGAGTTTAAGCTTTGTTCTAAGGCTACTGATGCACAATACTCTGAGATTTATGTCTGTCCTAAGGCGGGTTTGCTCTGCACACAGCCTGGATCTGTCCACCACGACCAGCTCTCCTTTGAGCGGGTTGAGTATCCAGCTAATACAGTTAGCTAACTCCCTGCAGCGAGCACATCAGCCCTCCTTGTGGCCCCCATGTCTCTGAGAAGCTCTTGGGGAGCACAATACAAATGCTAACCGAGATGCATTTTGCACCACTGGCACTTTCAGGAGAGATGGCCAAAGCTAGAAGAAGATGTTTATTTAATTCAGAAACCTTGTGTCTCGCACAGCTATGGCCCTTGTCTTTTAGTACAACTTAGAAAAGTCCATTCCTCTCTATGGGATGCTCTTAAGCTTTATTTTCTCTCCAAAATGCTTTCCCTCCCATTCAGCAAACTGGCTCACTGCTGGCACGAAAAGGGCCACTGTGTTTGTCTCTGAAGATGCGAGGAGTGGGAGACTTGGTGAAGCCAAAGCCCAAGGGTGAAGGGACCATGGCTCCCTTCACAGTGAGCAATGTGGGGAGCTTGGAAACAGAGTGGGAGATGCTTTGGGTTGACCACAGTGGGGACCAATAGACACCGGACACTTGAGGGCCTGGGCTTAGGGGGGAAGTGGGACAGCAGACTTCTGATGAGACAATGTTCTGAGGGGTCAGGCACCCTCTGAGGAGCAGAGCAAATGGTGTGGAATGACATGTTTAGTCGTTGGTGCTAATTTTATTGACTCTGCATAGTACGCTGAGGGACCAAGAGCGCATCTTGTTTCCACAACCCATAACGTGTACCCAGAGTGTATGAATAATAGAAAGGAGAAAAGAGAGCTGTGCAGGGAGGAAAGAAATTCTATCTTAAGGGTTTATTCAGCTCCCCAGATAGAATTTGGGCTGCTTATCTCACCAGAAGGCCAAAATGGCTGTTCAGAACTACCTTCAGTATGAGAAAATAGTATACATTTTTCAAAGCTTTGACAAAATGGACATTGCATACTCAAGCTGGTCTGAAAGGAGAAAGAGGTAAGGGCAGGGCAGAGGTGATTGAACAGTTCCTCCAATATACAGGCATTGAGCACCTATGGTGTTAGGTGCCTCATTTACATTATTTTATCTTGTGCTTGTGCTATATGATTCTTGTGTCACAGATGTAGAAATTGGGGCTCACATAGGATTAATGGCTTAATCAAAGCCACGGGGCTAGTATGATAGAGTGGAGACTCAGGTCTGCTGACCTCCAGGCCTCTGATTCTTCCTGTTGATACACACTTTCTTATTCAACTGTCCATGGATCCATTCAGCTGTCATCAAAACCTGGAGCACAGCCTGGGTCCATCATGTTGCCTCCTGTCTATGGCTGAAGCAGGCAGAAGGAAACTCCTGTAAGCTCCCTTAGCTGTGTCATCTTCATTCCACACATAAAAGGACCAAGAGAAAGCAGACAGTGGCCAGTCTCCCATCTAACTACCACGTAGGTGGGCCCTGACCTCCAAACATGGAGATAACTAGCTCTTCCCGCCAGGAGGAAGCATACTTCCCTGAGGGTGAAAAGGGCAGAGGGAAGTCCTTATAATGTCCAGGGTGGAAGAGGGGAACTCGTTGGAACAAAAATTCAGGGTAGGGAAAGAAAATTCAAAATGACTCTTTTTATAATACTAACGATAAGAAAGGAGATAGACCTCCACTATCACACCAGTTTTGCCCGTACTGGTATAATCCCTCTAGGTTAGAGTGTAAGATGATTATATTGCTAAGTTGGATGAAGAAAGCACAGGTCACAGTCCAGGCTGAGCAGCGCTTCACTGTGTGAAATGCATTGCACATCTATATGATTTTGACATCCACAGTTGGGAAGCTCCAGCCAGCCAGGAAACCATGGGGAGGAGATGTGTGCTTGTGAGAATGAACAGCTGTCACACAGGATTTAGAGAAAGAGACTAATGACAAGGCTTCAGGAAGGAAGCAAAGGGTGTAGTGCCAGTGTCTGGGCCTCATGGAGCCTTCACCATGAAGCTTGAGTTGCGAAGATCAGAAAAAGAAATGCTCTAACTCACAATTGTCAGCTTCCCTATTTACTAATCCAAGAATACTGGAGTGGAGAAACTATAAGGAAAATGCAGCCACACAAATGAGTTGAGGACCTCACAGCCTCACAAGCATCCCTCTGAGTTAAGCTTGTCACTACCATGGGGGACCAATGGAGCCGCCATTATCAGTGCCGGCAGTGCTTTCCCGTGTTTATGACAAAGTCAGTAGCAGCTGTTGAATCTGCCTCACACATTCCTTCTTGGTGAGTCCCTGATGGTCTCTGGAGGACCAGGTCAAATCCTGAAACTTTGTTTTGATGTTTACCTTCAGATATGGCTGCCGCAATCTGGAGCAGGGTTAGGGAAAAACAGCATGGCCGCAAATCAAAATGTTACCGATATTACGCATCTGTTATTATGACAGGAATCAAGAACTCTTCCCTTGTTAGCGGTTACACTCTTAAATTGTTAAGTAAAAGCCAAGTTTAAGAGAGGAAGGAGTAGAAAACAGGGAGACTTGGAAATGGGGGATCATATTTCAGCTGCCCAGGAATTCCCAACTCCTCTAGTTCTCTGTATATTTACAGCTGGCATCAAGATGTCTTGAGAATTCTTCATTATTGCCAGTAACGAAAACCCAATTCTAACTGCATCAAACAAAGTCATTAAAAAAAAACCCACAAAGAATAAGCATATTAAGAAGTCCAGGAAGATGGCTTCAGAGTCCCAAACCATGGCCCTCTCTTTCCCTTGGGTATTACACTGTAGGGGCTTCACTTTCAGGCTAACATTCCCACATGACAGCAAGACCATTCCCTTCCATTCCCCCTTTTATCTGGCCATCTGTAGATGTGGCTGTGCCTCCATCCAAAGTTCCATGGCCCTCACATGAATTTCATGCCTTCCTTTAGATCATTCAGTTAATTCAGGGAGAAAGGCTTTTTGATTGGCTTGCTTGGATCACATTTCTTGATCAAGAGCTTTTGCATATAAGTAGGAACAAGTTATGTACCGATTTAATCAAAGGTGACCCCTTATTTTTGCTTGGTTCGTTTGTCAGTAAGCTCTCTCATATGGAAACTCCTTACTGACATGCAAACTTCTTAGGATGGTGCTGGGGGTGGTACTACCATTAATAATATCATAATTTGGTGATCTGGATGTTGGGACGGTCAAATATCCTTCAGTTTGGAGGCACAGAGACACTTATAGTTGTGCGAGCATCTATTGATAATTTTTCTTGAACTCCTTGTGTGATTCTTTGCAAAGCTGCCTCTGCTTGGAGCCAAAGCAATAAGATAAACCTGGTGCTTTATAATTTGTTTCCTTCATTGAAGAAGATGATTAGGATTCGGTGAATGCCACTATTTTTTTTTCTCCAGGGCTCCTACAAGAGGCACATATCTCACCTTTGCAGGTAAAGTGTAGGTGGGAAGTAGTTTTAAGCCAATGACTGCTGCTGACTGCTCCTTTGTGTTGTTCCCTCACAGGGCATCTACAGTTGTATTCATGGAGTGCACATTGAAGAAAAGAAGACGTCTCCAGACTTTAATCTAACTGGGTCCCAGAGCAACATGCTAAAGCTCCTCCGGTCAGCCAAAAACATTTCCAACATGTCCAACCTGAACTCCTCAAGGATGGACTCGCCGAAAAGAACTGCTGACTTCATCCAAAGAGGCTCCCTCATCATGGATATGGTTTCAGACAAGGGGAATTTGATATTTTCAGACAACAGGTCCTTCCAGGGGAAGGACAGCATTTTTGGAGACAACATGAATGAACTTCAAACATTTGTAGCCAATAGGCACAAGGATAACCTCAATAACTATGTGTTCCAGGGACAACATCCTCTTACACTCAACGAGTCCAACCCCAACACAGTGGAGGTGGCTGTGAGCACAGAATCCAAAGGGAACTCTAGACCCCGGCAGCTCTGGAAGAAATCCATGGAGTCTCTACGCCAAGATTCTCTGAGCCAGAATCCAGTCTCCCAGAGGGATGAGGGGACAGCAGAGAACAGGACCCACTCCCTAAAGAGCCCCAGGTACCTTCCAGAAGAGGTGGCCCATTCTGACATTTCAGAAACTTCAAGTCGCGCCACATGCCACAGGGAACCCAACAACAATAAGAACCATAAAACCAAGGACAACTTCAAAAGGTCAATGGCCTCCAAGTACCCCAAGGACTGCAGCGAGGTGGAACACACCTACCTGAAAACCAAAGCCAGCTCTCCCAGGGACAAGATCTACACCATCGATGGTGAGAAGGAGCCCAGTTTTCACTTAGAACCTCCCCAGTTTGTTGAAAATATATCCCTCCCAGAGAACGTGGGCTTCCCAGATCCCTACCAGGATCATGGTGAGAACTTTCGCAAGGGAGACTCCACACTGCCTGTGAACAGGACCCCCCTGCATAATGAAGACGGGCTTCCCAACAATGACCAGTACAAGCTCTATGCCAAGCACTTCACCTTGAAAGACAAGGGTTCCCCCCACAGCGAAGGCAGTGACCGTTACCGGCAGAACTCCACACACTGCCGAAGCTGCCTTTCCAACCTGCCCACCTACTCCGGCCACTTCACCATGAGGTCTCCCTTCAAGTGTGATGCCTGCCTGCGGATGGGGAACCTCTATGACATTGATGAAGACCAGATGCTCCAGGAGACAGGGAACCCGGCCAGCCAGGAGGGGGTCTATCAGCAAGACTGGGCACAGAACAATGCACTCCAGCTCCAGAAGAACAAGCTGAGGATTAACCGTCAGCATTCCTATGATAACATCCTCGACAAACCCAGGGAGATGGACCTCAGCAAGCCTTCCCGGAGCATAAGCCTCAAAGACAGGGAGAGGCTCCTGGAGGGCAACTTATATGGGAGCCTGTTTAGTGTCCCTGCAAGCAAACTCTCAGGGAACAAAAGCTCCCTTTTTCTCCAAGGTCTGGAGGACAGTAAGAGGAGCAAGTCTCTCTTGCCAGACCATACCTCTGATAACCCTTTCCTTCACTCCTACAGGGATGATCAACGCTTAGTTATTGGGAGATGCCCCTCAGACTCTTATAAACACTCCTTGCCATCACAGGCAGCGAATGATAGCTACCTTCGATCGTCCTTGAGGTCAACAGCATCATACTGTTCTAGGGACAGTCGGGGCCACAGTGATGTGTATATTTCAGAGCATGTTATGCCTTATGCTGCAAATAAGAATAATATGTACTCTACCCCCAGGGTTTTAAATTCCTGCAGCAATAGACGTGTGTACAAGAAAATGCCTAGTATCGAATCTGATGTTTAAAATCTTCCATTAATGTTTTATCTTTAGGGAAACATGTAATTGCCAACATTGTGGAGGGTAAATGTTGGATGTCCGATAGTGCCCTGCTAAGAGGAAGAAGATTTAGGGAGGTATTTTTTGTTGGCTCTTTTGCACATGGCTCCATGCCATAATCTTCCACTCAAGGAGTCGTATGAGATTTGTGCTATGACAGGCACCAGATAGGTGAGTCCTTAACCTAAAACAAATACATGAATAAGGGCAAGTCTCTGGGATGTGCCAAATAGGCATGTTGGCAATAATGATGCACTGGATGTTGATGGTGATGTGATGATTTCCTATATGCCAAATTCCATTAAGATCAGCCCACCATGTAATTTCTTCATCCGAAATGCCTAGTGGTTTCTCTAATACAGAATAAGCAATATGGTATGCATGTAAATCTGACACAGACAATAAAACAGTTAAGAATGCATCTGCACCGTAGTGAGATTGACATGTGCAAGAGATTAGGAAGTTTGGCTTGTGAAAGTTCTCAGCTTTATTGTTATGCCTTCCACTCACAGCCCAGGCCCAACCCCAAGAAATGCAGGCTCCCCCCAAAGAATAGCAAATCAATGTGTTTGTGGTATCTGTGTATTCTTCATTATAGTCCATTCCCAAGACACTTCTGGAACAAAAAGCCAGAGACACTCTCAGGCAGAGAGCTACAAGAATCTCTTTGGATGTTGATGTGTGTGTTTCTCTCACTTTGGGCTTTGATGGTCTCGTTCAGAGCTGCATAAACTAACACATGTCTTCGATGTCTAAGTGTGGATCTTCTGTCTATGACACAGTGGCCATTGTATTTTATCCTGAAGACTTCTCTGTACGTAAGTTTGCATTTTCTCCCTTCTGGTGATGACTCAGGGTTGTATAGTATCTGTTACCTCATCCTTCCCAGAGTAACTGTAACTTGTTCAATCCCCAAATAGCCATGATGGCGTCTAATTAGCTGTGTGTTGCTGTTCCCAGAGTTGTTAACGTGGTAACGCGTACCAACAGCCATGCGTGTGCTGTGATCTGTAAGAAGCGCCGTGCTATCTGTCTGCCCAAAGCTAACATGGTCCTTTAGGTTTATCTTCCTTAATGTCCTGAAACTCTCTTGGACACTCATTTCCAGCCAACCTCCTCTGATCAAAGGCCTTCAAAGCATGATACACTCATGCACCTACCCTGAGCGCCCTCCAAACTGTGGAGAAACTTAGTGAGACAAGTGATTTCTCTCTTCTGAAATATTCTTTCTATTGGAAGAAAACGATTTCGCCAGCACCAACAGATAATATAAAAAAATTCTCGATGCATTTATCATTTCTGAACCACTTACACCATTCCGTTCTTATTCTACTCCAACCTGTGCATATGTAACAAGAATGATAGTCATTATTTAAAACAGTTGGAGTGAGAGGGGGAAGATTTAGGAATGGTAAGATTCTTAGCATAGCATCTCCCTAAAATAAACATTGTTGAAAAAAGGGTAGTTGTTATGTTCTGAAGCTTTTCAGATCAGGATTTTCTAGTTTAAAAACTAAATACCATAAAACCAGCAAACAATACTAAGTGATCATTTTATGGCTCTACCACATTAATTGGTATAGTTTAAATACATTAATACTCTTGAAATAATTAGGCTAACTGACCATTGGGTTTTATAGAGGACCTCAGTCTGTTTGGGGCATTCAGCAGAACCTCTAAGCTCAAGCAAGACAGCCTGGCCATTTCCCAGTTTGTTTCCTGCGTTTTGTTTTGAGCTTTTGGAGAAGGAAACAAAATGGCGGGCTGAATGTTTACCTTGTGTCTTTTCCTGGTGTGTGTTCTGTTTTGTAAGTAGTATTTTCCTGTAAGTGGGTAAGTGCCAGAGATGTTTCTCTTAGAGCTGGAGAATATGTTGAATGGCTCTCTCTGTCTTTGGAAAAGCGCACCTGACCCACAGTGTTTCTATAATGATGAAAAGTGGTTGCAATAAGTTTGAGAGTTCATGGTGGAATAGCACAGGGAAGCAAGGAGAGGGAGCATCTTTCAATCATCTTTGGAAAGCGGAAGGGGTTGAAATGATGCTGGGGACCAGTGTGCTTAAAAATGATGTTATTTCTTGTATGCTGCCCTTTGCTGCTCCAAGACCCAGCATCGGAGAAGGCTGGATTGATGGACCTTGAGCAGCCACCCCCATTTCTGATCTTAAATTTAAGTTTCTGTGACTGTATCTTCTCTTAGCTCTTTCTGCCTTTGCTTTCTCATTACATTCATACCTGCATCTTCCCTGCTAAGCTCACTTCCATGTCCTCATGAGACTAGAGTGTCTTAACATGAAGTAAATGAAAAATGTCCCCAGCATACAAAGCAATGATAGGGGATCAATTCAAAGAAGATCTCTATCTTCTTCTGGTGTCCTCAAAGACAAGAGGGCCACCAAATGCCACAAAATCTCTAGGGAGATCGCAATGACCATTGGATTGACTTCATACATGAAAAAGCCTGCTAATAACAGCATCACTTCCACCATGAATGCCATAAGCATCTTGATAAAGAATTTAAAGTGTGGTTTTTGGAAGAACTAAAAACAAGGTAGTAGAAAAGATACACCTCTTTTAGCATCCTCCACTAAAGCACTGGTTCATAAATGTGATGATTTTAAAAAGGCAAATCAGAGGGTCAGTTTCCAAGTAAAGAATAATGATGTGGAGCCATTCAAAAGTAACCCGAATCAGTTAATTTTTGAAAAAGGGATGTCCAAAATATAAAATTCACTGGTAAATGGCATCTACAATAAAGAAGGGTAAAGAAATAATTATAAAGCTCTGAACTGTGGGCCCATTACAAAGGACTCCTGTGATACACTCCAGCTCTGAGATCTTAGACTTGACACCAAAAGGCAAGAATCTCTGAACCAAAATGCCTGAGTTTTACTTGGCATAAGTCAAAGTTGCAGCCACAGTGCTATTTCACTAATAAATCCTTTCCCTACTTGGGAAGGATCCATGGTCCTCAAATGGGCACACCTGGACTCAGCGGTCAGTTTTCTGTCCATGGGTAATAGCACACACAATGTCCTATTCAACTGTCCGTTTAAGGGAGGCTTCCAGCACATGAACGCTACTCTGGGGAATCATCTTGCTCTGAAAAATAGTTCGCATAATCTTTACATCTCCTAGTTCTTAGGCCACATCTGGATCCACTTCTCCAAGTGGGCAAGTCCCCAGTGGATCTATCTTTCTTCCAGTGAGATCTCCAGAAATGAGAGGTTTTGATCTCACCAGTCGTGACTCTCTGTCCTCTGCAAATCTCCTTCCATTATTTCAGGTAGCACCACGACTGTCTTGTGGATTACACTTGGGTTTCTCTTCCTTGTTTCATAAGGTGCCTAAGAGAACTTAATACTTAGCTTTTCTGACGAAAGCATTAAAATTCATCCATCGCAGCAGAATCTGTCAAATAAATTCACACTTATTTTCTGGGGAAAAAAAACTACACCTTGTTTACAAATGAAATCGTTTCATTTAAATGGGACTTTAGCCAAGGCAGTTAATTAGTCAAAAGACCCATGGTAGTCACACAGTCACACATTGTTTATTCTATTTGATATGTCTACCGCTGATGTGTATTTAATATTCTGCATCCTTCTCAGGAAATGACAAATGCCCTGAATTCTTTGCAAATAGAATTGCTAATGAGAAAGAAAAAGAAAGTTGGTGTTAATTAAATGGTGATTAAAAATTTATCTCCTTTAAACCTAAAAAGTGCAGCTTTAATAATCGGTTGTCATATAAATAAATACCTTGCACTGAAATCCCTTGCGGTTTAAGACCTAGATAAATACTAATTTGAGAAACCTAAATATCTTTCAGAGGAGCTGAATACACTCGTTAGCATTATGCACATTCCTGTACTGTTTCTTTGTGCAGAGCTGTTGTGCATGAACCCTTGGGAGGGGGACATGAGTTGTTTCCCAGCGGGAGTTTGCTTGAATTAACCATCCCTGTAGTAGACATAATTGGACTTCAAGAAAAAGAATTTCAGTACGTGGAAGCCAAATGCAATGGTTGATATTTAATACAAGATAGCAGTTCTATGTAAATGCGATTTTCCTTCCCAAAGCAGTGTTTATTTTCACGAGTCAGAATTAGGCTTCTCTGATATTCTGTCTTCTTTTGGTAAACAGGGTTGAAAGTGGTTTTTGAGAGATTATGTGGGATCTGTACTTGAAAAGTTCGCCCAGTATGCAGCTTCCCTTCCCCGGTCCACTCCTTTATATTGTACTGTGTTCATAAATAATTGTTTCAGATGAGATCAGCTTGCCACCTGATGCAGATCAAAGATGATCGAGTGCACTCATCCTGTGAACACAGGTGCTTGTGTGTACGTGTATATGATATACGCACTTGATTTCTGCAATTCACACAGAAGTGTATTATCCAGACAAAGCTGTACATATTGTAAAGTTTATGTTCAAAAATTAAGTGGTAATGATTTTATTGACACATGGAAAACCCATTCTAGTTATTTCGATGGTTTCTGTAGGGAAGACACTATATTTTTTTAATCTCGATTCAAGGGAAGATAACAGAGCCCAAGTAGGACTTGGGTGTTGGTTGTCTTGGCTCCTTAAAAAACAGGAATCTGGGTGACGGGTGTGGAATTTGTGCTGCTCACATTCACTTCTGAAGACAATGCTAATAGGGCTATTTATCAAAAGGCACAGATTTCCTATTTCAACTCTATTCTCTTTCCCACTCTCAGATGTGTATGTTTTCTGCATCTAGAAGTGCTCGCAGGGGAGTATCAGCTACAGGTACCCGCCCAGGAGCATTTCAGAAAAAAACAGGACTTGTAGAACTACACCAAGATTTGGCGGAAAGATGGGCGATGAGAAAACGAAATCTGCAAGGGGGCAATAATTTGTATAAAGGTCAATCAAGTGAGACAGCACCAGAGATGGGGCAGGCACCATAGACTTTCCGGTCTGGTTTCTTACCATGTTAGCTATCTCTCAGTTTCTTTCAGGAGGGCCTTTCTGAGTGCCTGCAGAAGAGTCAGAGAGAACCCCTGACCTGGCTCTCTTGGCCTCTTTTCCCTGTGCGGACCCAGGCATGCCTTTTTTGAATTTGGTTTCCCTCCAAGGTCCTTCATAATCTCTTGTTGTCTCAGAGAAGAAAAAACTTTTTTCTCATTGATCTTTCTCCCAGGAAGGAACAATGAGAGATATAGATTAAAATTTCAAACCAAAGATGAAAGCTGGCAACAATCACTGAAATCATAGTTGTATTTCCCAGGCACCAGGGTTGAACCGAGCATTTTGATCAGGTAATTGCACTTACCTGAGTGCTCAGTCCTTTTGAAATCCAGTTTGGGGTTAGGGAGTGTAAAGTGAATAGAAAATGCACTCTCTTTCTGTAAGGAGCTTCTGGTTTCGAAGTTTAATTCCTTAATACAAAAGATAATTAAAGACCATAAAAGGCAAACGGACTAAACAGTAAAAAATTAGAAATGTCCAATGAAACTGTTTCCAGGAAATAAACACTAATTTGATTCCATGATCAAATTTAGAAAAGAAAACAAGGCTCTCCTCAGACCATTTTGTAACTCTGAAGAATACAGTTGGTGCTCTTACAGATGGCCTCGGCGTATTTGAACCTTCAGAAAAGGTGCTTGGGGAACACAGAAGTGGCTAACAGATGAACAAACTCACCCTTCTGAATTTTTGCATAGGCAGGCCTGGGTCTGCTTCTAACTGGTTCTCCAAACTTTACCAAATCCTGCTTCTTCTTGGCTCTGCTTTATGACATGTGCTTCAAAAAAAGTTTTTAAAAAATCCTGAAATCTTTTTGCTTTGTTTTGTTTTTGTCTTGTGAAGAGCACTTTTGATAGTTCGGGGTATGGATGGATTGGAGGGTGGGTGGATAGGGAGAACCTTTTATCGAGTCCCAAGTGCCTACTGGTGTGGCTGGTGAAAGCAAGCATCAGGTTCCCGAGAGAGAAAATGGGGCAAGGAGATGACTGAAGGAACCTAGGTGTACTTCAGAAGAGATGGCAGAATAGGAAGGGTGGAGAGGGAGCTTTTCTTTATTCTGTCCATCCCATTCTGGGTAGTGCTGGAAGGTTAGATTCTCTGCTCATCGCAAGTACTTTGCATATATCAGCACCTGAGTCTGAAAATATATATAAAAAAATACATCTACATTGAGTATAGACTAGCCTAGAACACAGTCCTCAAAATAACAAGATATAAATATGATTGCTCCCATTTCACAGGTAAGGAAACTGAGGTGTAAGTACTCAGCCTCATCAGAAACAAGAAATAGCTAATAGACCTCTTAGCTTAGATATATTCTTGAAGTGCCTGACCTCCTCGAGGGAGGTCAGAATAGAAATGAGAGAGACAGAGGGGCCGGGGGAGAGGCTTTTTGAGTTTTGAGGTCCCCGGGCTTTCTCTTAAGTGCCAGCACCTGTGATGAGGAGGGTTGCAATTGTGCTGCCCTTGCTGTCTGGTTGGGGTAGGTTAGGAACTGCTGGGGACCTCATCTCTCTTCAGAGTTCCCCCAGAGACACGTATGCTGCCGGTGTCTCTCCTCCTTCATACGCTTGCACTCAGCAATTTTTTTTTCTTTTTGCTTCCTGGGGAGTTATTTTCATTGCTTAGCATGTGCCTAATCCTAAATATCTCTTTCCTAATCTCTCTTCTTTTTACCAGTTGAAATCAGGGCTAATTCCATTAAGCATGTGTACATAGTGTGCTCTCCTACGTGTGTGAGGACACACACACACACACACACACACACACACACACTGCCTTGTGGCCCTCCGTTAAAGCACTCCTAAGCATTGTGACCCATTTTTAAAGAGCTGATGTCATTTGTAAGTTGACTGCTTCTCTCATTTCGTCTGTAAGTTTGCTTATCTATGCCGGGCAGACAGAATGAGGTCCAGAGGTGGGACAGAAAGCGGAAAACAGAGTTTTTGCACGAATGATTGAAAGCATTAAGGTAGTCACAGTGACCGAGGGCCAGTTAGTAACATGTTGTTGTCATTGTGGTTTACTTCCTTGGTCTGTCCTATTTTTTGCATTCCTTCAGAGATGTTATCCTGGCTGCAGCATCAGGATAACTGTTCAACCACTGAGTGCTGATTCATGTCTTTCCACAACTAGTGTTGAATTAGAACATTTCTAACTGGCTTCCGGTAACCCGGAATGGCATGGCGTTAAATTCATGCTGTAGGCAGTGCCCCTGAGACCACACATGCCTTTCTTTGAATCCTTTTCTTCCTGTGTCCTAAGCCGCTCTTCTTTTTCTGGCATTTATATTTACTACGAGGTGGGTCACACTGGCCCATTTTATAGATTAGAAAACTGAGCTAGGATTGGAAGGGGTAGTTTTCTGAGGGTCTCCATGGCTTAATCCTTCTACAAGATTACTGATCCCAATGTAAGCACCCCTGTCCTAGTCCTTGAGAAAAATTCTCCCATCTTTCAAAACAACTTATTAAGACAGGAAGATGATGATGATGATCATTATTATTATTATATAGCTATTTTGAGATCTTGTTGTTGTGCCTGAAAGTGTGTGACAGAAATTCTCCCAGGGATGTTGAACTATGCAGAAAGTAGAGACCCCAAAGAATAGTTTGGCCAACAGTGCTTCTTCTTTGGAGGCGTATTTCAGAGTCCGCAATCCTCCAGGGAACCAGAACCAAACTGTTTTAAATGGACTCACTCTTCAGATTAACTTCCTCAAGTAAGGTGTCGGCAGTCAGCAACAACAAACAAAACAAAACAGGTTACCACTCAGAAATCCCTCTTCTGACCATAGCAAGGGACAATGAGTTTGCTTTTTTGCAGTGGTAGAACATTTCTCATTAGCAGCAGACCTGGGTCAAAACCTCTTCCAGTTAATTCTCTTTACGCCTCTGGGAAGGATTGAAGATGAGCCTTCAAAAGGGTATTAGCATAGCGCATAGCCAATACCATGGCTGCCTTTCAAATTAATAAGGTTAATTGTTCTCCAGCACACATAAATTTGTCTTTGGCATTTTAAATGTTCCACATTGATCTGACATTTCACTGCTTCAAGCTCTTAAAGGGCTCAAATCAAAGACTATTGATAATTGGGCAAATAGTAAAGGTCCACAAATATAAAAACATTGTCAGTTTTTCCATGAAAAACAATCATAGCTTTTTGAATCCAATGGAGGTCTTTACATTAGCCATCTAAGACTTATTGAATTATTTCTGTTCTCAGTTAAGCTAATTCAAGCGAATGAACAGTATTGACTTTTAAAACCTATTTTACTTTTTTTTTTAATCTTAAGTTTATTAGATTTGTAGACACAGCTTTGAGGCATGATCAGTAGGGAAATGTTCTGCTTTGGAAATAGAAGATTCGGAGTGCTATTTTATGACAAATCCAAGGGGTCATCTTTGAAAATTCTGATAGACTTGAGAAGATGAAAGTGTAACGTTCATGTCCCCAAATTTCCCATTAGGAAGGATATCAATTGCCTGTTTTCTTCAAATAAAATAGTAGGTAAGAAAAACATGTTCATAGAAAATGCAATCAACTGCTTGATGTAAGTAACTACGCAGCTAGATGTGGCTCATACATTTTTCAAGCCTGAGGGTCCTCAAAGATTTTTTTTAACTAGCTGTTTTAAAACTACAAATGCCACTTTTGTTCATCCGCTGCTAAAACAAATTTAAAAGCATATACTTGCCAAATTAATTAGTAGAATTTATCGTAGTTTGTATCACACTGGAATATATTTCAAACAGTATTCAGAATGAATTAGGTGAGTTAATTGGTGGCTTGAATAAGCAGTAGGTCATAACATAAACAATGGCCTTCTGAGGCAGAAAAAGAGGATAAATTTACTCATTTTTCACTCGTGCTAGAGGACACATTTCATAATATACAAGCTGGTCGTTGCCCACAAGAGTTCCTGAATTAAACAGCTTATACATAAAAGGTCTATGTCGGAGTCCATTTTTAACCCGATAGGGATGGAATGGAATTCATACGCAGAGGGTTTCCACTCACAGCTATGTTCAAACACTGTCGAAAACACCTCTGAACTGGCTTGAGCTCTTGTATGGTGGAGCCTCAGGCAAGCTGTGTGCTCCACTCACTGGTCTTCATTTAGGAAGAAGATCTTCACTTACCAATCGCAGCAATTTATATCTGTCACGTTTTAATCCACTGCATGAGGAAATGCTAATAACTGTATTAAATATTTCCAAGCATAGCTACAAAATTACACGTTTGCTTAACACCTTTCTACGATAGAGGAAGTACATATTATGGTCGTCTTCTTGTAGTATGTCTTTTAATTTTGTTCAATGTGTTATCAGCTGTTTTAAGGAATGGGGTTTGAAATGTGTGTGCAAAATGATCTGTACATAACTCCCGAGGCAACAGAAGTGCCGCTCATATGGTGTAAAAATGTAAATACAGGAAAATTTCATTTTTCTAATAAAGATAATTTCTGCCAATTGATATGAAAATGAGAGATAAAGCTGTGGTCTTTGTTGTTGTTGCTGCTGTTGTGGGCATCGCTAACGTTTCAGCAAACTTGGTCTTGGCCCAGTGGGGAAATGGAGTGGGACCTCAGCTTACAAACTTCATTTGTTTTACAACTGTGGGGAAGATGGGTGTGTTTGTATCGGTGTGGGGGGAAAGATGGCTGTGGTTGTGTTTGTTACCCAGTGTGAAGTTTGCAGACAGAAGCACAAGTTTGCCAAACACTTTTGCTCGTGGGCGGAACTGTTTGCCAACAGAAGCATTTGTGATCAGAGGTACCACACTACTGTGATTTGAGTCCCCACCTTGTGCAGTGGGGGAGTAAGGAGGGAGGGATGGGCCTGGAGTACACCCAGGTCAGGCACAGGCTCTCTTCATTCCCATTCTTTGTCTCACAAGTGATTAATGAAATGCTCATCCCCACTGGCCAGTCAGTGTGCATTGCTCAGGGACAAGACTCCCCAATCTTAGGACACAGCACTGCTACTGCCCGACTTCTCAGGCCTGTGGGTCATCCTCTCTCCCCTCACATACAATCACCCACCTATCTGCATGGCCTCTAACCTGCACTCAAGATCTGCATACATCTCATCCCTTCTGCCACTATTGCCCAGTCCATCATAGCCCATCTGTACCACTACAATAGCTTCCCAACCCATCTTCTTGTTCTGCTTTTGCCTCCATGTTTACCTGTTCTCCAGTAGGCAGGGTAATCTGTCCAAAGCATGCCTTGTATAATATAACTCACCTGCCCTTGGGGCTTCAGTGCCTTTCCACTGCAATCAAAACCAAAGCCATATCCTGGACTGTGACATCACAGCTTGGTCTGCTCTGTTCCCTCCTCATGTTCTACCACTCTGTGACATGTCACTCTGATCTAGACAGACAGAACTGTCTCTTCAAACAAAGCCAACACCTGGCCTTTCTGCTTGCTATTGCTTCTCCGTGTAACCAACCCTCTAGATCTTTTCCTAACTTTCTCCTTTATCACACTCAGGACTGTTAAAATTACATCTTCTTAGAGAGACACTGAATGATCACACTATCTCCAATAGGACGGTCTCCATCACTATCTCCTTACTATATTCTTTTTGTCCCTGTTGCACTTCATACATTGAAATTCTGCCATAGCTTTCTTTGGATTTGTTCACAGTATCTTTTTAGTGGATGAGAATAGGAACTTGGTCCATCTCATTCACTGCTCAGGCCCCAACATAGGGTGCAGTGTCTGGTTTCTGGCCCCTGGTAGGTATTCAAGAAATATTGTAAGGATTGATGAGTCAATGGATGAGTGGAGGGGTAAATTAGTAGGTGAGTGTTTCTGGCTGGAAAATTAACTGATTGGATGAATGGACAAATAGAAGGAGTAAAGTCATTAATAGATAGATATCTGACCACATAGGTGAAATATGATGGAGGCATAAGGTTGGGTGGATGGAAGGATGCCTTTGATCTCAGTAAGTAGTTCCTAGGCTTTGTGTTCACCTCATCCTAATCCTGGGACCCTCAATATATGGCAAGGTGCATATTTACTGTCAGAAGAATGGCCTCACACGGTGGTAACTAAGGATGTACTCTGAATGAGGGATTAAAAATCCCTTCACCTCTTCCTAACATTCCCCAGCTCTCCTCAGCATTTCCACTGGTTCTCCAAGAGCAGTTCCTGAAGCATGTCCTGTATCTCGATCACTATGGACTCAGGACACAGAAGAATTCACAGGGTGCTGCTGAAATAAAAATGGAGCCCACATCACGTACAAGGCCATAGTACCAGATTCTTACACATACAAGTCTCCCAGCTTACTGAAAAAGAGGAGAAGGTGGGAAATAATCAAGGTTCTCTCTCAGGAATCATTCCACACTTTATATACATCATCTTTTCAAGACCCCGTTCACTGGGAGATGGTAGTCTTGTGACTGCAGAATCTTTGAAAATCTTTGGGCAGATGGTGGCTTCCAACAGACACTTTTCCACTTGGGGCCTAGGCTGGTTTTGGTATGGTAGTGGTTCCTGTCCAAGTGCTCTAACATGGCTGCTGAGCCCAGTAGCCTTCTGGGATTAATGGCAGCCGTTCTAGTCTGAAGAACTCATTGTTTTCTCTCCACTTTAGTAAGGCAGACTATCAGCCCCAAGTCCCTCCAGCAGACCATTCGCTCAGTCTGACCCAATAAGATGGAGTGAGAAAAAATCTTGAGGAGCGTTTTCATTGCAACATTTCCCCTTCAGCCATGAGAAAGTCAGGAATGGTGCAGATTGTTGCTCCCCCATGGTGGCAAGTAGCTTCCGTCTAT